ACGACGAAGTGATTCTGTTGTAGGTTTCCATTCCCTCGTAACAAAAAATGAATTTACAATTAGCCTGTTCCGTGTGTGGGTATGTTGGTTTGGGTAGGTCTGATTGTCAACAGTATCTGGTTCGGATTATATAAAATCTGCCACATAATAATCCACATGGACCAATGAAAAGCTGCGTTACCGGTGCCGCCCTTTTTATAACGGCACCATAGTATTGGCCTTGGATTTGGTGAAAGAGTTTCATCTTTTCATGGGTCTTGCTTTCTAGATAGTTGTAGTTCTTTTTGTAGGCATGAAGTAAATTTTCTATTGACTTGGATGACGTGAACACTAGTCTAGGATGTTTTAGTTTTGTGATTGTGAACCCTATGTTGTGATTGGCATGAATGTTTATTTATCAGGATTATTGAATGTCATTGATCAATTCCCTCAATATTGGGGCCAATTGACCCAGGTGAGAGAAAAACTCCTAAGGGTAATTTTGGGCATTATTCAATCATCGTAAGGGGGCCATGAACGAAAGTGATTGATATCTTTATGCTATTCCTGATCATCACACGAGGGAGTGGATTTGGTTGCGCTAATTGCCTAATTCTATAGCTTGGTATGCCTCTCTAGTTAGAGCAATTAGGCGGGTTAGGACAATTCAAATATGAACTCCTTGCTAGCTTTGATCTCCTAACGGCATATACTAGATGTGAATCACACTACAGTATCACGTCATTGACTCAACATGGGACTAGGGGGATAATGATTCGAGTGAAGCTTTCTCCATTGAATTGAACATTGTTTTACTTGCTTGCATGTTTGTTGGTTCATTAGCTTAAAACAAAGTTCTACCGCTAGATAATTTGTAGTTTGCCGCAACAAGGATACATAGACCCCCCCCCCCCCCCGGTTTGATAATTTGAAAAATACTTGCTCTATACTACCCAGGTTGAAGATTACACTTGGCCTTCGATTGCAAGTGTAGTTAGAACCGAGTCAGATCTCTTTGATCACCAAGGCAACATCTTTCGAATCAATGGTCAACGATGTGAACCATACTCCCACCCTACAACCACTCACTTTTGTGGAAGACATTTCTCTTACTGACGACGTTTAGAAGAAATAGCTATGCCTAGCTCAAAGGCGTAAAAGAAGGAGTACTCTTGGGAGGCAACCTAAGGATTTCTTTGCACTTTTCTTGTTTTTAGTAAGTTAATTCAATTCACAAGTTTATTTTCTTCACTAAAAGTAAATTAAATATATATTTTCTGTGTTTCATGCCAATTCCTGCACAATTCAAGCGAAGAAAAATAGAATCTTTCGTATAAATTTTATTATATTTATTAGTTTCGGTTTTCGTACGTTCTTTTTGTTTGGTTCCAAGCTCAACCCAGGACTCCATATCAAAGACAAAAATGGAGGATTGTCCAATCAAAAATTTTCGATTTGGTCAAGCAGTTTCAAGGAGGCAGGACGAAAGGAGGGTCAGTGGCGGTCGGCGTCGCCATCCCTTTTGATGGCCTACACAACTCCTCTTTCCTTCTGCAACATATACACAAAGAGAAGGGACCGACGGTCCTACCCGTCATCGACCTGCCATCACCCATAAAAAGAGGACAAACCTACGCTTTGATTCCTCACACCTGACAAAGACTCTCACAGTGATTCTGAAGTCCAGAAGTAAGAAGACCCATGCATAGATGATGGTGGCGGCCAAAGAAAGAGTTGTCAATCAAGGAATTAAGAAAACATCATTGGAGAATGATGGGGATAGGAGCAAGAGAGCTACGATGTTGGTGTCATGCCAACCCAAAGTAGCACCGATGTTTTGCAAGAAGGATAACATAGATGACATTCCCCTAGCATCAAGGATGGAAAGCATGAAATGATACCAACACGGAATTAGTACTCGTAGTTATCAAAGTCGCACTGCCAAGAAAATGGATTAGGGGTTAAGGATAAAATGAAATTAAAGTGCAATCTCACACTTAGGAGAAGGCTCTATCAATATAGGGTAGAAGCTTGACCACAATCAAGGTGTGTACTCAATTTATGCAAAGCACAAATTCAAAAGCCGAAGCTCAATGAACAAGAATAAAATTAGTAATCTTCAAACTATGCTCTAAAACTCTATTTTAATCCTTTAAATAGGCAAAAGAAACAAAAATTAATCAAAAACCCTAAATGGAAAAGGATCCTAAACACAAAAGGTAATTTGAAACCCGAAAAACTAATCAATCTCCTGTCGTGCACCTTCAGATCCTAGACAGGGGATTAATAGCCACCTGACCGGGGGTTCTTTTGTTCCTATTCCCCAGTCTCTCCCTACTCATCCTCGGTCGGGGATTTGGGTCCCTTTTGGTAGAGGGAATCACATCAGGCCCTCCCCTTTGAAGAAGATTTGTCCTCAAAGATTGTGTGTTCCTGTAAGAGAGATCATCACTAGAATTTCCCAACTGAATTCTTCTAAGAGTAGTCAACATGTGCCTTCGAGCCATAAGATGGGTTCCACTTTTGTCCTCTGACTTCGAATCACTTGCATTCCCTTTCTCCCTTGCCCAATTCAGCTCCTCTATTGTTGATCTTTTCGGACTTCAACTGGCAACAATGGTTTGAGAAGAATCTTCCGACCTTCATGTTTGATCTTGTAGCAATTGATCCTCCCCTCATGAACTACACATCGATCGAACTGCCATGGATGACCCAACAGGAGGTGAGTTGCATGCATTGGTGCAACATCGCAAAGAATCTTGTCTTTGTACTCTCCCATTTCGAATTTAACCAAAGCTTGCTTGGTGACCTTAATCGCGCCATACTCATTCAACCAATGCAGTGAGTAAGGTTCCAGGTGCTTCGTTGTACTCAAATTGGCCTTCATTTATGCTTCTAAGTTGATAACATTTATGCAACTACCACAATCAACAACCATTATCAAAACTTTACCGTTGACCAAGCAATGAGAGTGGAAAATATTCTCCCTCTGGTCCATCTCTACAGGGGTTGCACTAGTTAAGGCTATGATCGTCTCTTCTACCTCCGAGTCAGATGAATTAGCAGTCATATTCCCTTAATCTTCACCTTCAAAGACATATGCACCATCATCTCGAAGAACCATGGCACGTTTGTTTGGACATTGATTGGCTTTATGACCTTGCCCCAAACAAACTTCGGATGCTTTCGGTCAATTCTTCGGATATGGCTTGAATGACAAGACCATTGTGTTCTATATGTTCGCTTGACTCCTTATGGCCTAAAATGATTCGTAGTGGTTTTGTCCATGTTCTCTGCAAACGGTTTAGTTGAAAGTGGATACCTTCTTCCGGAACTGACCTTTAGCTGTTTGTCCACCTTAATGGCTAGGTGAATCACTTCCTCTAACTCCACAAACTTACAAAGCTTAACTTTGTATCTAGTTTCCCAATTGAGGTCATGTAGAAATTGAGAAATTGTAGCTTCCTTCTCTTCTCTCATGTCTGCCCTCATCAAGAGCAGTTCAAGCTCCCTGAAATACTCCTCAACTGATCATGCTCCTAGTAGAATCCCTTGCAATGAATCAAATAGTTCTCTTTGAAAGTAACATGGCACGAATCTCTCTCCCATGAACCCTCTTAATTCAGCCCAGGTTGTCACATTCGGGTACAAGTTCCTTCTTCTTCTTCTGAGTTGTACCTGCTCCCACAATATAGTTGTATAATCAGTGAATTCTTTGGCTAGTGATACCTTTTATTGCTCGCTATAATTGTCACACTAGAATAACAAGATGATCTTCCTCTCCCAATCCAAGTATGTAGAAGAATTGATAGACCCTTGAAATGAAAGAATTGAAAGCTTGATCCCTCGTAAGTCAACAAAAATACCTTATTGTCCTGCTTCTGGTGGTCTTCCACCGTATTCAGTATTCACGAAATTCGTGTTCTTGATGCACTTGATTGGGCTCTGTCGTGAACAACCTCCGCTCCAGGTTGCGAAGTCTTTCATCTATATGTGGAGTTCCATAACATATATATGTGGAACCTTGACCACAACATATATATGTGGAGTTCCAACCCAGTCAACAGGTAATTCTGTAATTCTCTCTTTACCAACTTCTCCTTGTGATCAACAGGAGAACTGCACAAGTATCAGAAAATTAGCGCATAACATATAGAAACTCTTAACTCTATTTTCCTAATAACAAAGCCTAAAATCTTCCATATTCCAATTATGAAAGAAATCGAAAACAACTTGGCTAGCTGTCTAGAAATCAATTGGGGAAAGGTTTTGAGAACCTATTGGAAAATAACGTCATCGCGGCCTGTTATCTATGTCTATTTAACAATCAACATGAATCACGAATCTGAATGATACAACAAGTAATAGTCTAATGGGGACGAACCAAAGAGGGGATTAGTTTCATGGTTAAACATCGGGGACATAGATTGAACACGAACTAGGACAACGCTAGCAAAACTTCACGATGCCGCATGAAGGTGGATATCAGTAACTATCTACTAGCTATGCAGCAAACAATGAGAAAGGAATGAGAGACGCAGATGCTGAGATGCAACGAGGCAGGGCTTGACGACGGACGGGAGATTGAAACGACGAATCAAAATAAATTTCTTGAAGTCTGGGCGAGTGGGCGGCTTTGGGTTGGTTTATGGTCAATCGGTTTGAGCTGCACATTATTAAACCACCGTAATGCCATATCACCAATCACTATCTACGTGGACCAATAAAAAAACAGCGACATCGGTATCACACTTTTAAAGCGGCACCATAATATTGGCCCATTAGACCTAGTCATGACTGGGGGGAAATTAGATTTTTTAATTGAGCCCAACCCGATTGATTGTAGTATAAGCCCATAGTCAAATTGATTTGTCCAAATTACTTTTCTTATCAGAAAAGAAAAAAGAATTAATGATTCAACGAAGAAAAAAAAAAGCAAGAAAGGAAGAAAGGATTAAATTCCTCTTTCGAAGACCCTGGCTTGGCACCATAGGACCCAGCAACTCACCGATCCGGCGCCGATGAGGAGAATGTTGATCGTGGCCGGTTGGCTCGGCTTGGCAATTGCGACGGTGGCTGGAATGTCATCGGCGGAGCCGGAGCTTGGCTCAGCTCGTGTCGTTTTCCAGGTTCTCTCTGTCACTCACTTATCACCAGCAGAGTCGTCCATGATCGCACCTCTTAGTTATGACTTGACGAAAACAACTGCGAGCTGAGAGAATTTGGGATGTTGCTTGGCGCATTTTCAATTGAGATACTTGTTGTGGTGAATTGCAGACGGATTATGGAGATATTGAGTTTGGATTCTATCCATCTGTGGCGCCACGAACCGTTGACCACATTTTCAAGCTTGTTCGGCTTGGAGGCTATAACACTAATCACTTCTTCAGGGTATGTTATTGCTTTTGTTTCATGATCAGTTGGTGATTGAATTTGAATAGAAGTTTGATGTGGGTGGTTGATTCAGTGAGGGGAAATGTGGAGTTGATGTCAGGTGGACAAGGGTTTTGTGGCCCAAGTGGCGGATGTGGCTGGTGGACGATCGGCTCCGATGAATGAAGAGCAAAGAGCGGAAGCGGAGAAGACTGTAATTGGGGAATTTAGTAATGTGAAACATGTGAGGGGTATTCTGTCCATGGGCAGGTAAATGTGTGCTTCCTCACGAACTTCGTCTTTAATAATGTAATTATGCTTTCAGAACCTTCACTCTCGTCATCTCAAGGTTCTGCCTGGTACTTAGCTTTCAAATGCTTAATTTTGAATGCACTTCTTCGCATCGGAGCTGGTAGTGTCACAGCTGATTATGTAGTTTGATTATGGTTGTCACTGCTCCCAAACATCATTGCTGTTTAGAAGCTTGGCTTAAGAGCTAGTAATCCGTGACTGCATTCAGTTGAAATTTATAAAATTGTGGGCTAATGACAGAGTAATCACACCATATTTCTAATCTGTTTATAGTGTTAACTTAAGTTTGAAGCTGCTAATGCATTGTACTTTATTGTTGAAGGTATTCTGATCCAAACAGCGCATCTTCCTCGTTTTCAATCCTTCTTGGAGATGCGCCACATCTTGATGGCCAAGTATAGCACTTTTAGTTTGTTAAATGTTCTTCAGTTTATAAACTATAGGAATGATGTGAGGTTAGTGACTCATAATTCTTTTCAGTATGCAGTATTTGGTAAAGTTACCAAAGGAGATGACACATTGAAGAAGTTGGAGCAAGTTCCTACAAGGACCGAGGGAATCTTTGTCATGGTATGTGTATACTTGGCTGGAGGCTGTGCCTTGACATGCAAACTAATGAAAATGAATGATTTCCATGCTTGTATTCCTGGATCTCTCTATTGGACACAGTGCACCCATGCTACCAATTGGTTCATCATTGTATGGGATCTGAACTTTTTTTAAAAAGGGTGACATAGGTTCATTTTTATTGTTAGGTGCTACTTAAGGGATTCGAACCTGGTTTAAGACTAGTGTTATAATCACTAGACCAAGCCCTTTTTCGGTATTCTTACAGAAGCACTTTATATCTGAGTTCCTGAACATGTTTCCTGGCATGGCTCTCAGGACTTTTTTCTTTCACATATGTTCATCAACTGCTGTTGAGTAGGAATAATGATGCCCTTCAAGCTTCTGCTGTCATGTGGTTTTGTATCCATTTTTGGAAATTAAAATAGATTTGAATTTTAAAGAAAGCAAATAGTGTGTCTGTTTCCTGCTTTCCAATTTTATGGATGTTACCTAGTTTCTTGAACTCCATGGAGCTTCTGCTTTCTCAGCTCTGATATAGCTTTTTTTTTCTCCCTCCAGCCAACAGAGCGGATCACTATTCTGTCATCGTACTACTATGGTAAGTACCAATCATCTGTTGTGTTCTTCTCCTTGCTCCTTCCATCAATCAGGTGTGTTATTATGGGAATCCTCCCAGCACTGAAGCCGCGAGGATGAATGCTTTTCTGTCTAGATAAGGCTAGGAGGCTACAAAGATACTGAACAGCTAAACTCAAAGTTATCATTCTTTTATTTTAGGAAATAATCTAGTTGGAGAATCCCATGGGAATTCCTTACTCCAGTTATCTTACTAGCATACTGCATACTATCCTCATGCGATGTTTGAGACGATTTCGTATTGTTGTGATGTACCGTACGTTCCTAGTTTCTGTTTGAAAATTCAGAAGTTCGAAACTCACTGTTAGGGGAACGCATATTTTATTACTGTTACTGTACTATATTTCATCTTTGGGGAAGAGTCTGCTCGCTCGTGGGAAAGACTTATGAAGTTGTCTTTGTTTCTTGATGGATATTTATTTGATATTACTATATCTTGGTGAAATTGATGTGCTAAACATTTCCGCCTAGACTTTTACTCTTCTTTTCCATTTGGCATTGATTGGAAATAAGCACGCACCCTTTGGGTATTTTTCCTGAAGAACTGATGCGAGCTATGACTATAGGATTTCAGGTGTTTGGGAAGAAGAAATTTAGGTTAATTGCATTAAGAGCAGGAGAGAATGCATTTGTGCAAAATGTAGGAGTATAATTGAGATCTTACTGGGAAATGAGAAATGTTGACATACTTCTCAGTTCTTATCAAATAGATGTTTTGGTATGGCAAGGCAAGGCACTGGACATGCATAAGAACAATTTGATTTACAAAACAATTTCAGGAGAATGCTATAAGAAACACTTTTCTTCGTTTTGGTCTCTTATGCTTAACTTCATACTTTATGCTCCAATGTATTGAGGGGAAGTGCCTGTCCTGTCAAGAACTGTTCACTATAATTTAAGTGGCTTTCCCTTGTTACTTATAAATAAATTGACTGATACCTTTGGGAATGAGGCGAAAAACATGGCGGATACCTGAAAAGTGAGACCCTGGTTTCATTAGTTAATAAGAGACTTGCTTATTGCCCACTGTCAATCTGTCATTGTTCTTTGCTCTCACTGTCATTTCTTTCAGATACTACCTTGGAGAAGTGTGACGCGGAGAGGACGATCCTGAAGCGAAGGCTTGCTGCTGCTGCTATTGAAATTGAAAAACAGGTTTTTCCTCATTCCCAACTTCCAGATAGCTCAGTTTCTTGTTATGTGTGTGACTAACTAAGAACAACGCGGGCACCATCGCCATGTGTATTAATTTTTGCAGAGAATGAAATGCTTCGCGTGATTCAGCAAGGTGAACCTGTCTTGACTTGCTGTGATTACTTCGCCAATTTGTAAACTATAGAGCCAAAATGGAGAACAAAGAAAAGAGTACCTCCTCGATGGTGAATTAAAGGCTCGCCGAGAGTATAAACCTTAGACTGGATCTCCCAAATACGAGAAATTAACGCTATTCGCAGGCAACTATATGTCAACATCTGGACTGACTTTGGTGTTTAATGTTCATATCGCTCTGTCTGCTGGCCTAGTTAATGTTCGGCTCCTATGTGTATATTATCCCCTATCTAATGCATCTGTCTAGCTGGGAGTTGCCCATAGCCCCATATGTTGGCTAATAATGTATTCTGACTATGTTGGAGCTTGTCAATTAGAATATGTGGTCCATGGATTGTCAATTATGTTAAAGATTTGGGGTAAATTTGTAGCAGTTAAACCCACCAGTCGCATTTGCAAGTATATTGCCCTGATGTTTGCTAAAATTGTTACCAGGAGACAAGAGGTTCATATGATAAAACATAAGTAAACGAGCTTACGCTAACAAATGAAGTGCATTGATAAACATGGTTTAAAAGAGACGGCACAAAGCTAGTTCAATTCGATTTGCGAATTAATACGCTAATAACAAATCAAATTTTCATCCTACAACTATATTGATCCATGTAGTCATAATGAATCTGTTAAAGATGTTACTTTTTTTTTGGTAATCAATCTCCTAAAGAGTGATTATTAGGGAAGTTTTCCTTTTTAATTTAGTAGGGAAGATGTTTCTACTCACTACTATAAGTTGGGCCCAGTATCCATACAAGTTTAATAGTGGGACAGAACAGATGGGGCCTCATACAAAATCTGTGGAACCCATCAATTATGAGATAGTAGAGAGAATAATCCAGTGCTGGAGATCTTTTCTCCATAGAATTTGGTGAATAATTAGAGAGTGATTAGACTAATCAAAAAGTGATCACTCACTTTCTCACTAAAGTAGATTATAGAGACTTGCGCTAATTCCAGGGACAAGGGTTGTGGAAGATGCACGATATACTTGGGAGACCAATAAAAATTTGGGCACCAAATCTAGACTTCTAAGGAGAGACAAGTGGTTAGGAGATCTTAGTTATGAGCTTGATGATATCTTCTTCCCGAGGGAAAATGCACAATTGGTTGCTCCACCATATGGCGAGGAGCACCTGATAATGGATACAGTGTAATTTGTTACAATTTTTTGGAGTATGTAACCAAACTGGAATGAACATGTTGGAATTCATTAGATCACTATAAAAAGAAATTTGCCATCGAGCTCGTTCTTTCAACTAGCTTGAAGGAATTTTGTTGTACATGACTAATAAGGTTGGAGACTTAGTAAGATCGAGATATTGACTTTGGATTCATTGGTACACCCAATTTCAGGTCAGGGTAGGGTTAACACAGATGCTCTATCTTCACTCTCCCTTGTTGTTGTCTAAATTTGGAGGTATTACTAGGAGAGAAGCAGGTTTGCTTCACTACAACCTCCACGACCAACTTTAGAGGTCGCACGATCACTAGAACCGAGTTGATGTCATTTTTCAAAGTCTCAACCTTGCTTTGGAGATGGCTCGTCGCTAGTGCTCCATTCGTTTGCTACTACCCACCACTTCCACCTCATGTTTGCACTTGTAGTAGCCATCGGACAACTTCTTAGCACACATTGTGAGGTACAACTTCTTCACACTCACAATTTGTCGTGCCATCAACCATCTTCCTCTCCTCTTATCACGAGTTCACTCGATTGTTAATCCAGATGCAGTTCCCACGTACTGTTTATCGTGTGACACTCGATTGGACTCATACCCACATTACATCTTAATCTATTAGGGTGTCATTTTGAACTTTGCTTTATTTTTAGAAAAGAAAAAAACATCCTCAATAATAGTAGTATGGAGGTAAAAGAAAAAAAAGACATCTTCAGGTACCAAGGACCCTACATGGGTATGGCATTAATTGCCACATGGATGATCAGCTGTGGGATGGAGACAATGACCACATATGACTCCCTCCTCTTTTTCATTAGCCAAGTTAACAAGCTGTCTGCACTGCAATTTGCACCACATAATAATATCCAAACGCAATCTTCAAACAGACATTAAACTTTTGGTTTGCTCGATCTCCATATCCATTTAAAAAACAAACAAATAAAAGACACTACATGTGCTGCCTGCCTCAGGTGTGTGTGTATAGTAGAGAGTATAGTGTAATAATAACCACTACTACGCTTTCAGTTTGTTATGCAGCATTTGATTTCCTTGTCCCCAGCCCGTCGCTGCTGCAACACGATCAGTCCTTCTCCCTGCAAATTGTCAAATTAATGTATTCAATTGTATTATACATGTTTTATACGCATTCAGTTTAAGTTTAATATAGTAGGGTATCAAACGAAACAGAAAAACAATGAAATGGTTCGGTAGACGGTAATAGCACATAAAGAGAAATTTGAAGCTCGTACATATTATACATTTGTAAATACGGTAAAGGGTGTCAAGAATAGTTTGGTTCCAATAACTCTACTTGTTGGAAAATATTCAATGATTGATCTTATACCATTTACTAAAACGTCAACTCAAACGAAAACCAACTCATTTGAGCTTGAAGTTTGCACAGGTTTGAATACCATGTGCTAATAAATGAGGGTCGTCATGATTTGAACACCAGACATCTCAATCATCAAAGGCTCTGATAGACTCATATGGATAACATAGTTATCGGAAACAATTGGTTCTTGACATGTCACATGATAGCAAAGCTGGTTTGATCTTGAAGTCACATGTTCTAGTCCGCATGAATCCCAATATTAACCGTTGTGTTAAAGCACATGGTATGATGGACCTATACAAACTTGAAGTCCATGAATTGGAAGAGAGATTACAGAAGTGGTTTTCCCTAGATTTCGTATTTTCTTTTTTTCTGCTCCTCCCAACTTGAGTGTGAATCGAACTGCACATCCTTATCATGGACTGACAAGTTGAGAGCAAGTTAAATCCTATTGGCCTGCAACTGACAACGTACAAGAGCATCTTTGCTTTGCTTACAAGTGCAAGAGAAACCTTGAGAGGAATTCTCTTCTCCTGTTCAAATGATAGGCTTATACTTTGGACACATTATCATCTGTGAGAGGAAGATGAACATAGTGAGAGGGAGCAATAGGCACATGATGGGTGACATCTCACTTACCCAGTCACCAAATTGGCCTAAAAAGCTGTCGGGTTCCCTACACATTTGACTCTGTCTCTCGTCAGTCCAAGCTATTCCTATAGCCCTCTCTACCTCTCTGAGGATGCCAAAAATAATAGTGACTTGTTGTGGGCTGTGGCCATGTTGTTCTAGTTTTAGGATGCACACATTTTCTTTTAGGACTCAGAGACATGTCTGCACCATATAAGCAGAAGAAGAGGGGGGAAACAGCATCACATGGTTGTGAAAAGGGGTTTGGAGGATAGGAAGAGAGCCTCTTTCGTTTGTCAGTGTTGTTTCAGCAATGGGATGTGTCTGGTTAGGGACATGCATGGTCTTTTGTTTTCTTGCCTTCGGCTGATTGTTCTTGACAGGTCTTAAAAATACTATAATGCAAAAGTTTAGTTTAGGCTCTACTAATACAAGAAGGGTTTACTCTGAATTTTTAATTGGGGAGGAGGTTAAGGTGCTTCCTACCATAACGACTCTTCTGAAGGATATTATAGCCTAAGCATAAACAAGTTTTCAGATTCTTTAAGCTTCACTCTTTCCCTAATGCCAGAGGATACTTCACGATTTAATCCTCTCAACATGGAGGGACTTAATGGAACTATAAGTGTTCGAAAGGCTCTAGGAAGTCAACCACACTATTATTGAAGGTTTCTTACCATTTAATCTGATGTCCACTTCTTGAAAAAAAAACTTGATTACCCTGGAAATGCTATGGTCCCGACTTGAAAATCAACTAACTCGTTGAAGCCGACGGAAATTGAAAGGCTTGCCAAAGAGAACATGGAATGAACAAATATAATTATATTTTCATGTTGGACTAACAATCTATACAGAGAAATCAAAAGATGCAAATCAGGAAAAAGGTGCGAGAATAATGACAACATGCATTGAATATAGGATATTATATTTCCATGTTGGACTCACAATCAATACAGAAAAATCAAAGGATGCAAATCAAGGAAAAGGTGAAATAATCTGTTCGGTAAAAGGAAAGAATTCAAATTGTTTTCTTGCCCCCCAAAGGTGATGCAATATAATTCCCCCAGCCACCCTGACAAGGGACACTGATCCTCAACCGGGGATCAACAAGAAGGTGACCAGTGGATCGAAACAGTGAGGCCCCCAGTCAGTTGGGACATAATACCCGATTGGGGATGAGTTAGTTCGTGATAGGGGATTTGGGATGACAAGTTAAATTACCTTTTGTGTTTAGGATTCTTTTCCTTTTCAGGTTTTTTATTAGTTTTTGTTTCTTTGGCTATATAAAGGTTTAAACTCGATTTTTGTGACAAATATTGAAGACTTTGAATATGATTGAATATTGATGCTTAAATTCATTCAAGCCCGACCTGAAGGATCCGCTGGAAGAATCCAATGCTTCAAATGTCTAGGTCGTGGTCACAAAGCAAATCAGTGCCCCCAACAAGAAAACACTGGTTCTACAAGATGGAGAATACTTTTCTGGGGAGGAGGAAGAAGAAAATAAGCCAATGGGGATAGGAATCGATTATGATGATGATGGTGTCGATGAGCACATAACTGTTGAAGCCCCTCCAACAAGTAAGTTTCTTGGGTTCAATCGTAGAGTGCTCTCCCTTGAAGCTCTAGCTGACCAGGAATAGTGAGATAATAGGTTTCATACCAGTTGTCTGATGGATGGAAAGTTATTGTCTATGGTGATCGATGGTGGTAGTTGCACCAATGTAGTGAGTCTTGATGCAGTTAACAAGCTAGGACCGAGTACCATTAAGCATCGACAGCCTTACAACCTTCATGGTTGAATGACTA